ATAGCAGCGATTGTGGGGCTGGCGCGGGATCGGGCAGTGTTTCGTTCTGCTGTGCATGGGGTCGCTATGAATCGGAAATGACTTGACGGCACTTAACAACAACAACTCACCATGGGGAATACTACATCCAGCTGCCCAGCTACTCAACCAGACCCAGGCAAGTTGACACACAACCTTAACTACCACACTGACATACACACTTAACTACCAAACTTTATAATTAGATTGGTAGATTGATCTGAAATATATTTGAACTTCTATAGAGATGTCATTCAATTATCGATTATAATTAAGTTTTCTTTCTTTTTTCAGTGTTTCTTTATCTGCCCTGTACCAGTGTTCACAGAAAGAGAATTACATCAGCAATGTGTCTAAAAAGCTGAAAACTCTACAAAGTATAATGTTCTTACTACTTAGAACAACAGCCATACCTAAAAATTTTTAGTAATGGTCCCACTCTAAATACTGATAAACATATAGAGATATCCTCATTATTTTTCCAATAATAATGAGCTGGTCTAGACCATCCTGGTCTCTTTTGTAGCCCAGGGCACACTTATGGGAGATACTTGGCTTTACAACTATATGCTTAGTGAAGTAGGCTGTCATTTACCCTAACTAGCATTGATCTTAAAGAGAATCTCTTGATCCTAGACAACGAGAGACAGTGAACAGAAAAAATGTACTGGTTTTACACTGGATGTCCAAAAATTTGGTTTTTAATTCTGACTCCTCCAATTTAATAACTTTGCAAACTCAACAAGTTATTGGAACATTTGGAAAGTGAAAATAAGAAACTCTATCCAGGAGCTCTGGTAGCATAGTGCCTAAGGCACTTGACTGCTAACCAGAAGGCTGGCAGTTCAAACCCACCAGCCACTCCTCGGAAGGAAGGTTGGGTAATCCTACTTCTGTAGTGATACTGCCTCGGAAACCCAAGGAGGGGTCGCTATGAGTCGGGGCCGACTCGATGGCACATAACGACAACGACAACAACATCCTGCCCATATAGCCAGGTCATGTAAAATAGCAAAATAGAGATGGAACTTCATAAGCCACAAAGTTAGCTGCCAACTGGTTCATGTCACTCCTCATATTCCTATCTCTTACCATCTTCAACATGTTGCTGGCACTTGGAGACACTCCTTTCCGTAATTCATTGTGCTTATTTACAATCTCTTTTTGGACTGATGTCTGGGTAGTTAATAAAGCCTTAAAAGCTGGATCCTAAACAGAAATAAAATTAGAATTATTTTTAACATATTTAAAAATTATAGATAATAGTTAATAAATTAATTCAAATGAACAAAAGTAATTTTAAAAATTGTTCAATTCAAGCTAATATTAAATGTTAATTGTTGTGTATAATTTAGAGACAAAGCTATGACCTTTAAATAGTGAAGACATAGTTTGAAGCTTTGAGAGTGAGAATATAATTTGCAGAATGAAAAACTATGAAAAACTTTGCATTGTTGGTACACAGACTAAGCAATTTGCTTACTTAAATCGACACAAGTGTGCAATTCTATATGGGGATGAGTACCGTTTTAGATGTCAATTGTAAGTCTAGAATCAGGGATACTACCCTTTGTAGATTTTCCCTAACAACTTGCTACAAGTTACCAAATTTCCTCAAGGCTCTCCAACTACTGTGATAATAGGTTGGATCACATTTTATTGCCATTATCTACTTCTGAGTCTATTTGTCCTTCCTGCTTGTAGGTTCCTAAGTACCAATATCAGCACCAGTTGCCATCTAGTTGATTCAATCTCATGGTGACCCTATGTGAGTCAGAGTAGAACTGTTCTCTATAGAATTTTCAATGCTGATTTTTTAAAATTAGGTTGCCAGGCCTTTCTTCAAGGTGCTCAGGATGTATTTGTATCGCCAATCTTTTGGTTAGCATCTGAGCATATTAACCATTTTCTCTATCCAGAGACAACACTTAGTTTGTGGTAATTTGTTATGGTAGCTCTAAAAACCTAATACAAAATCCAAAGAACATTTCATCATATACTCAGTTCTTCTACTCTTAATGGTTTATGTAGTGACATGGCATCCCACAAATCTATCTGGATAGCTCTGAAAATATTTTGCATCTTCATCTTACCTTTCCTTCAGCAGGTAAAGTCAGAAGTGTCACAGTGGCCAGAAACACCACCACTGGGAATACAGCCATTGCTAAGAAGTAATTTAAAGAGAACAAAGATCTGCATCAAAATATTTAGTACATGTACTTCTAACTAATGATTCTCAAAGGAATTATGATTCTAATATTCATTGTAATATCACAAGAATTGTCCTGGGGTGATTTTGGAATTATAGTTGAGCCCGCCTTGCATATTGTGATGTTGTTGTTGTTGTTATTTGCCATCGAGTTGGCCCGACTCCTAGCGACCCCTCCTTGGGTTTCCGAGGCAGTTATCACTACAGAAGTAGGATTGCCCAACCCATATTGTGATAGGACAGTGAAAAACAAATTGAAGAATTTGACTGATGTCCTTGAGGCTATAAAGGACACCTATAAAGGCTAGGGACATACTACTCTACTTCTGGCCAGTTCTCTACCAAAAACATTGTGGAAAAAAATCTTTCATTGCCAGTTATGGTGTTGTCGTTAATTATTTGTCCCAATTTTTTGGAAAGCATATTTTCAATCTGTATCTTCTCTTGGCTATTCCCCATGAGAAATAGAGCTGCTTGCTTTTTATTTACACCAGACTCAATTATCAAGTTTTCAGAGTTGTGATGAAACAGACAAAATTGTACAAATAATTTAGTATTGATTATTTCTCTAGTGGAGGAGAGAAGTTATATTTATATTCTTATTTATACTCGTTTATAATTTCAAGTTTCTCAGTATAGAAAAAAAATGAATGTGTTAAAAATCTAAACTGTATCAAGTTTGCTTACTCCTTGCTTTGGTATAAAGGTGTTCTGGTTACTTGGTGCCGCTCTGACAGGAAATATACCACAAATGGGATGGCCATAACAAACAAGAGTTTATTCTTAAATTTGGAGGCTTTAAGTCCAAGTTCAAAGTGCCAGGCTCTAGGGACTGGGTGAAAGCCCCCCAACCAGCTCTGCCTCCTACTCCCGGCCCACTGGAGCTAGAGGCGTTTCTTCACTCAGACAGCTTCTGGCTGCTGAGGCTGAGAAACCCCAAGGTTGACAAGTAAAAAGGCACAATCCCGATGTTACCACATGGCAGGCCATTGACTTAAGTCCATTGTAAGTCCCAAGGTCGGCAGACCATAGTAGGCTGCTGAACAATGACACGGCTGCATGCAGGGTCCAAGAGTGTCATAGGCTAGAGACTGTTCTCAAAACTTCTCCTTATATACAGGAAGCAGACCACATACCCAAAGGCTCAGCTGCTCACAGTAGATTCCACCATGGAGTTGATCACCAGTCTCATCATGGGGAATACTACATCCAACTGCCCAGCCACTCAACCAGGCCTAGCCAATTGACATACAAATGTAACCACCACAAAAGGTTATTTAAATTTTCACTAACTTTGAAAAAGAAACTTGTTTTTTACGAAATTGTACATGTGAAAAATGTTGAATTGGTCGTGTTGGGGTCTCCATATTATTATAACAGTAATAAAAATAAAAAAGACACTCTGTGGTTCTGTTGCCCACATGCTACTTTCTCAATATGTTAAAACATCCTAGGTCATTTTAATAAAGCAATAAGACCACTTAGTTTACGAAGCATTCATCTTCCTTGCTATTACTCATATAAATTGCTCACTTTGTAAGTTAAAGGATGTTGCGTTGATTTATTTCCTATGTGTAAAGCTGGCACCTCTAAATTCTTGATGGAAAAGAAAAGGCCAAAAAATTTATCTGTAGTACTTCCCCAGCTTCATTGATTTGCAAATAGGAGATACTCAATACCTGTTCCATGTCTTCCCTTTATTCTCAATGGTGTTGCAACTGAGAAAAACGAATTGTTGCAGCAAAATTTAGACCTTTTGTCTTTGTTTTAATAACCCTTATATTCATACATAACTATATCTGTTAATAAATAATAAATCATTAGTGTGAAAGTATATATAAACGTGCACACATATCTATCTTTCTAAAATTTTCTATTAAAGTTCTGGAATATTTGTTTCAATAGGTCTCAAATATGGGCAATAATTATTTATTTAAAAATGGGTTGTAAAAAATCATTTGTTATTGTTCTTAGGTGCAGTCAAGGCAGCTCTGACTTGTTGAGACCTCATGTACATCATTTAAATATGAAAATTATACTAAAATATTTTGGGAATAATAGGGCTGCATGTTCCCATATTACTTTCTTAATTTTAAAAGAGTATAATTACTGAGATCATTTCAATAAGCAGTCATTAATAGAACTTTTAAAACAATGAATGAATTAATTAACTATATCATTTTATCATTGACAAAATAAAAATACATTGGCAAAATAAAATAGTCACATTAAAATCAATGAATTATCATTTACCTTTGGTTCTCATAGCAGAACAGAATACCTGCTTAATCTGTGGAAATAGGAAGATGGAGAGATAGAAAGTTAGAACAATATTTATATATTATAACTTTTCCCCATTTTAGCAAGTTCTGGTTGTACAAGTAAATCTAAATCAACAGGGTCTGAAAGAGTATTTTCTATATTAGTAGCTTCAAATGCCATTACTAGTTGTTTGACATTGTTTATAATGTTATTTAGCTCCTATGTAGCTTTTAAGAAAAGTACAGGACAGACTTCCCAATCAGTCCTCTAAAATTTGGCACATTAAATCTGGATGCTGCTTTTCCTGTGAAGGTATATAGAATCCTAACTTATAGCTGAACCCTCATGACCTAGCTTTCTATGACTTTTGCTTCCCAGTTACCAACTACCTATAGCGTACTTGCTAAGAGCATAGTCTTTGAAAACTATGAAGGTTGGGAAATTATCTTTGAGCTTCAGTTTTCTCTTCTGTAAATTATTATAGATTGGAAAGTTGTACATGATGGAGAAAAGATTGAAGTTGTCAAAGACTTCATATTACTTGCTTCTACAATCAATGCCTGTGGAAGCAGCAGTCAAGACATCAGAAGACATATTGCATTGGGCAAATCTGTTGCAAAAGGCCTCTTTCAAGTGCTGAAGAGCAAAGATGTCCCCGTGAAGACTAAGATGCACCTAACCCCAAGCCATGATATTATTAATTGGCTCATACGCATGTGAGAGCTGGACAATGAATAAGGAAGACTGAAGAAGAGTTGATGCTTTTGAGTTGTGGTGTTGGTGAAGAATGTTGAAAGTGCCATGGACTGCTAAAAGAACCAACAGATCAGTCCTGATAGAAGTGCAGCTGGAATATGCCTTGGGAGCAAGGATGGCCAGACTTCGTCTCATCTACTTTGCTCATATTATCAGAAGGGACCATTCTCTGGAGAAGGATGTCATGCATAGTAAACTGGAGGGTAAGCAAAAGATGCAAAAGTCCTCAACAAGATAGACTGACACGGTGGCTGCAATAATAGGCTCAGGTATAATAGGGATCATGAGGCTGGTAAAAGAGCAGTGTTTCGTTCTGTTGTACATAGGGGCCCTATGAGTCAGAGATGACTCAACAGCACATAGCAACAACATCAAAAACATGAAAGGAGTCTCTGGGTAGAACAAATGGTTAAGTGTGGGATTACTAATCAAAAGATCGGTAGTTCAGACTTACCCAGAGGTGCTTCAGAAGACAGGTGTGGCAGTCTGCTTCTGAAAGTTCATGGCCTTAAAAGCCCTATGGAGCAGTTCTACACTATACACATTGAATTGCCAGGAGGTGGAATCTACTTGACAACAACTAATGACAAAAGTGTACATGACACACCTAATATCTGGCATACAACATTCAATGAATTTAAATTAATATTTTATCCTTTATGACACCAGATATTTTACTCAGCTCATAAGGTCTTTCTGTAAATGCATGTTGTTTGATTGAATTACTAATTTCAGAAGTGTTTGTAAGATCTATTTTTTTTTTTTTACCAGGTGTTATGGGGAAAAAAATAATAATAAAATGTAATCAGACATTCAAAAGCTCATGGCTAGATTCTATTAGAGACTCTGACTAAGTTCAGGAAAATCATCTAACACTGGGCCTCTGTATCCTCATAGCTAGTTCAGAGGTATACATACGAGCCTTAAGATTTTGTTTGGCTCAGTTTCCATTATGTTTGCATTAGACCACTCACAATTCTATAATGCAATGTATGCCTGAATTCAATGGTATTCGTGATGCCAGATGTTTCCCTCTGCCATTCTCCTCCCCTAATCTTCACTCACACACACCATAATCATCTTTGTTACATTAGTGAAAGGACCACACTTTTGTTGGGAATATATTCAAAGTAATATATATATATATATATATATATATATATATATACATATTTCCTATCTCAATGATTATTTTTTTATTCCTTTAAAACTACATTCATACATAGTTGAAAAGGTGGCTGCACTTATTTTCCTTGCTACTTACTGATGGAAAAGTGCTGTACCCTTTCTTGCAGGGGTTTTAAGACCAGGATGACATGGTTCTCATGGTGTTGCCTACAGGAGAAGCACTGACTGTGGTTTCATAATCCTAGAGCAGGGAAACAGGATATTTAAAATGAGGTGAAGAATACACTTACAGCAGTATCAGTAATTTCTCTAACAAACTTGCTACCTACGTAAGCAGTTTGTGTTCTCTAATACTTTATTTATTTGATCTTATCACTAGCATTATATCTGCTCCTGAGATCAAATTATGTCTCCATATCCTGGTATCTCCTTAAAAGGTTAACAAGGAGGTGAGCTTCTTAAAGAAGTTTTTATAAGCATTGTACTCTTTTAAGATCTATCTATTTGGGATCAAATTGATAACAGCATCTTGAAAGATTAGATAGGAAATTTAGGGGGCAGTGAATTTATGTTAATAAGAGAAGAAAAACTCTGAAAAGGAAGGTGAAAATGGTTGTACAACTCGAAGAATGTAATCAATGTCACTGAAATGTACACATCACTATCAAACCTCATTGCTGTCCAGTCAGATCTGACTCATAGTGACCCCTCCTTGGGTTTCTGAGGTGGTGTCACTATGGAAGTAGAGTGCTCAATCTTGTTTCTGAGGAGTGGCTGGTGGAAACCAGGAGCCTTCTGGTTAGCAGT